ACTCATTCTTTCTACCGTAATGTCTGCTGTTCAAAATTCGACATAATAATTATCTCTGAAACCTGGCTGCGTGACGATTATTTTGACTCTGAGCTTTTTAGTGATGATTATACAGTGTACAGACGGGATAGGGGGACTACTGTGCACAGAAATAGGGATGACGGTGGTGGTGTCATGATAGCGGTGTCTAACAGATACCGCTCAAGGCTTGTTGTTTCGGACTATAATTTGACTGAAGATCTATGGATATCCATTGATTTAGACGCGTCAAGTTCCACTGGTATAAAACAATTAGTCATTTGTGCGGTGTACATTGGACCCCCTACCACCAAAATTACTCTTGATGATTTCCTTAAAAATTGTAATATGTTTTTTGATAAATGGGATTCCCCCATATTTATTGTTGGTGATTTTAACTTGAGAAAAATAACATGGTCTGAGCTTTATCAGAAGGGTAAAGTTACTGGAATTACATCTTTGGAGCAGTCACTACTAAATTTTATAAATTTGAACAATCTGAAGCAACACAATCTTATAGTGAATAGCTACGGTAAGATTTTGGATCTCGTTTTGTCAAATGCATCCTGTACGGTTGATAAATCTTGTGAAGTTTTGTTGAACGCGCATTCGTTTCATCCTCCTCTTCACATCGTTCTTCCTCTGGTAGGTAAGGAGCAACTTATTTACAATGACCATCCTAGATTTAACTTTTATAACGCTGATTATACTTCGTTAAATAAATATTTAGCTAATTTTGACTGGGAGGAATTATTTGCATCATGTAAAGATGTTAACGAGATGATCTCTAATTTTTATACTTTCATTAATGAAACTATCCGTGATTTTGTTCCTATTACCAAACCTAAGAAAAAAAATTTTCCTTTCTGGTTTAGTAGACCACTGATCAGAATTCTTGCCGAAAAGGAAAATGTGCGCAGGCGATTCAAAAAATATAGAAATCCTAGAGATGAACTAGAGCTTAAATGTTTGAGTATGCGAAGCGAGAGGGTGGCTCGATTGAATTATAATGAGTACATCAGGTTCTTAGAAACAAATATCACTAGAAATTGCAAATATTTTTGGTCTTACTATAAGCAAAAGAGGGGAGGTAAAAGTAATTATCCTGCTGCTATGAGTGATGGAAACACGTGTAGTTCGGATGGTGAAGAAATCTGCAACATGTTTGCTAGCCACTTTACATCAGTGTATGAAGATGAATCTTCAATAGTCCACGGTAATGTTCAGAACCTTAGTACTGCTGATATTTTTGCAAAAACCATGACTCTTTTACAAGGATTTTTATTAACGAATCTGAAGTCATAAAGTTTTTCAAGTCATTAGATAAATCTAAAGGTGCCGGTCCTGATGGGATTCCCCCGGTTTTTATCTCAAATTGCGCCGAGACTCTAGCTTTTCCTTTAACTCGAATTTATAATGTCTCACTTAGCACCGGAATTTTCCCAACAGAATGGAAAATGGCCAAGGTAGTTCCAATCCATAAATCCGGGGACGCTGAACTAGTAGGAAATTATAGACCAATCTCAATTCTGTCGTCGTTTGCTAAGCTTTTGGAAGCCCTTGTTTGTCCATATATTCAAAATTATTTTAAAAAATACTTGTCCGATCACCAACATGGTTTCACTAAGGGCCGATCCACTTCTACTAACTTGGCGACCTTTGTAGATGTAATTATTGGCAAGGTTGACTCGAGTGCGCAAGTTGATGTCATTTACACTGACTTCAGCAAGGCTTTCTATAAGGTTTCACATAGTGTTCTTGTAGAGAAGTTGACTATGTACGGTTTTGGTGGCACCATGTTGCAGTGGCTTGCATCTTACCTGAGAAATAGATATTTCTACGTGGTAGTAAATGGATTTGCTTCTGCAATATATAACATTACGTCTGGAGTCCCTCAAGGCTCTCATCTTGGTCCTATTCTCTTTAATGTATTTATAAACGATTTGCCAGGAGTTTTTAAATTTTCAACACCATTTTTGTATGCCGATGATCTTAAATTGGTTAAGGTAATCAATTCAATGACGGATTATAAATTATTACAAAATGACCTTAACAGTCCCAGATTTCGCATATGGTGCAAATCTAATGGCATGTTTCTGAACACTGGCAAATGTTCATTTATTAAATTTACTCGTAGAATACATGTGTTTCCAGCAGTGTATACTTTAGAGGGCACCGTTCTTGCAGAGATGGACTGTGTAAAGGACCTGGGCGTCATATTTGACAAAAAACTAACTTTTAAACCGCATATTGAGTCAACTATTAACAAAGCGTCCAGGATGCTAGGTTTTGTCTTGAGAAACGGAAAAATCTTTCGCAGTGCTAAGGTGAAAATACTTTTATACAACAGTTTAGTTAGGAGTGTACTCGAATATTGCAGTGTGGTATGGCGACCCCATTATGCTGTTAATTCATTGCACCTAGAACGTGTTCAAAAGCGCTTTTTATGGCATTTGTCTTTCTCTGCTGGGTTGTCAAAAAAAATAAAATCATACGACAAAAGACTTAAACATTTTAAAATTACTCCTCTTTCAAAGCGCAGAGAATTATTAGATATAGTTTTTCTTTATAAGCTCATTCACAATATGGTTGACTGCCCACAACTACTTGGTAATTTAAATTTTAGAATTCCCCCTAAACGTCCCAGATTTCGCATTAAGCCTTTTCACCCGCCACGTCGTAGAACAGTACTGGGTTCGTACTCCCCCGTGCCTCGAATGTCTAGTTTGTATAATGACTGCTCCAAACATGTGGATATTTTCTATGATTCACTCCCAGGGTTAAAAAACTCAATTGTACACTTTCTTAATAATAGATAGAAAAAATATTTTTTGTTATTTAGGTAACTAACTTAAAAAGTAATATGTTTTGGTATTCATTGTTTTTATATTCTATATTGAGCATATGTTACACATTTAATTTTTTCGCATGTGGTGCTCACCTGTAATTGGTTAAGCAATTAGATTAAGCTTTTTCTCGATGTTGTCTAATGAATGAAATATTGTTGTAACTGTTGGTGTGCCTATTAATAAAAAAAAATGGCACTCAAGACACTCAAAGACGCTCAAACACACTCAAGACACTTCAACGCACTCACTGGCACTCAAAGGCACTCGCGGTCTCTCGCGGGCACTCGTGGGCTCTCGCGGGCACTCGTGGGCTCTCGCGGGCACTCCTGGCTCCCGCGGGCACTTGTGAGCTCTCAAAGGCACTACGCACGCCTTGCTACCTCGCATTTCTCTGCTGGAATCGCATTCTAATCCAATCTTAGATGTTACATTGCAGGCGAATGCTCGTCGGTGAAGGAGGTACTTTGTAATGCTCGCAAACGAATCTTGAATGTTACATTACAGGCGAAGGTTCTCAGTGAGGGAGCGTCCTTATTCTATATACTAAGCTAAACAGATGTAAATAAAACAAATGAACAAATACGGACCAACTTAATAACAATTTCTTTTAACAAACTACGCATTTAAATAATAATAAGGTTCACGCAAAAACACAAGGATTTAGGGTAATTAAAAGGATTCTTGTTATCACTGCGTATAGAAAAAAGGTATAACAAGCAATATGCTACATGTACATGCTACTAAATTATATCAATGTTTACAATTAAGCTTAAAAATATACGTTGTTTTACTAAATATAAATAATAAACCACGATTCAAAATACTTATCCACTCTTTTGGATAAATATCGAGTAAAAATGGATAAACATGGATATTTATCCATGTTTATCTTTCTACTGAGTATTTATCACACTGATATTTATCCATGATCCATCTCTATTCGTGTCAAATTCCCCTGAGAAGAATGTGCAAGAAATAGGTGTTGCCCTTTGTAAATATTTACATTTACAAATGTTTAGGATGTATATGTATACATTTGAATGCATTTATCATTACAATATTTTAATTTAAACATCCTAGATCGAGACTACCTGCAAAAGCTAAACGGGTCACTACCGCGGATTTTTGTTATCCAAGTACATACGTAAAAACTGCATAATATAACTTTTAGTGTAAAGTTTTTGCTTCACTACAGTTTTAAACTGATCTGAATTCTTTCTGAACCGCAGTCAATTCATTAATTCTTTGAAGAAAAGCACACACACACACACACACATGTATAACATAACAAAAGCAAGGACACTCGCTCACACTACTCTTTAGTAGCAGTGGAGCTCCTATAAAATACACAATAATAATGTTTATTTACTTAATGTAAAGTTACATGAATGTAATTTAACTGATAACGTGTAATTATTAAGAAAATCATAACAATTATAATTTTTTCTGTCTCCTGTACGTATATACACATGTGTACGTCGGCATTCAGTACTAATGTGGTACCAATTCTAGTAACACTTATGACTCTAGATCAACATATTATTCGTTGCATTATTGATGAATATGTATGAGACCCATATAAATTTGTCTGCTCAATGGGCACAGCTCGTTTTATCCTCGTAAGTTTCATATTTCATTCTTTATTGCTTTTTTCAAACAAATGTTATAGGTTAAAAAGTTAGGACTCTGGCAAATTATACTTAAACTTGACGCTAGATATTATTATATTAAACGTTAAACAACTGAAACACTTGCATTAGAATTTGTTAGAGCCGAAATAATTTACTTTATATAATATTACGCAATGGGATTTCGACTTAATGTTAGACAGGAGTGTGAGTCGCTGACGGTATCTCAGTTGGTTACTTAAAAACACTACCTGTAGAATTAGGTAGCAGCTACTCGAGACTCGTGACTCGCGGTTGCGACTTATCGACCAATAGAATTTTAGTGTCAGGGTCAAGAGCACATCCATCTTTACACTTAATATTAAAATTATTAAACTTTATGATGCTTACGATAAAAACAATCCTATTCCATTATGATCCAACGAGTATTATTATAATTATGTAAATTCAAGCTGTATCTGATGACCTTTAAAAACATTGTGTGACGTAATGACAATTCGGTTTCCGAACGATCATCATTTTGACAAAACTTCTAAATCTTACGTCTAATAACGCCTCAAAAGAAAATAATTACATTATATTTCAATTTACACGGTTTAGTGTTCAAAATGCCGTTTATACGTTCGACGAACTTAAATTTATTTATTGAAATATTTCTTCGTGTCGCACTATTCACTGCATTTTGGTAAGATCCCTCCTTACGGTACACGTATTAAGTTTTTACAAATTTCGTATTTTATAACTGAAATGTTTAAAAAAAAATGTTTTCTGATCTCTGTATAGCAGTACCAGTTATCGCTTTACGTGTTTTATATAGCACATCCTATTTTTTACCTACAATTAATATGTTATTTATTGCCTAAATTTTTTTTACGCGGGTCATGCGTATGAAAAATTTCCCATTATTGCAATTTCATGTTAACAATTCCGAGCCGTAACATTTCGATTTCAAGGTCCGATATGTGTCAAGTACTTAACAATATTTCACGAAATATATTTGATAAAAGTTTTACTGAAGAATCTGAAATTTGATATTTTTAATACTATTATATTACCACACGCAAAATAGGCGCTTTGTCGTCGAGTTGCGGAAACCAGCCCGTTGCACCAAGTACCATGTACTATAATATTATATTTGTGGTACCGTCGGGTTTCCGATTTCCATAACACAAGTGCTTTCGTTACTTACTTACTTTCTTACTATTATAATATCAACACATATACTTATCTTTTAGGTAATATCGCAATAATAGTAATAAATAATAGTAATATATAAATGGTTATTTATTTTAATTGCTATTTATAATTCAACATAGAAATTATAGATCAATTATGTGGTTCATTGCAAAACAAGAACAGTCACATACTCAATTAGCTTTGCACATTGTGTTATGATTTTACCTGGTATATTGTATGTTTAAATTTGATAATATTACAAGTTCAGTTAAAATAAGATTTTGAGGTCTCATGAACGATATTAAGAATATTTTTCTTATTAGGTGTTTATTTTTTTGTTTAATTTCCTATTTGAAAGCTCTATTATCTCCAAATTTAATAGTTGTTTTGCACCTGTAGATTGACATAAAATATGTTCTTTGGACTTTGAGGTATTATCCTCAACCACTGTCATATTTTTGAGTATTAGTTTTCATTTCTCATTTTTGGGCGCAAAATTAAAAAAGTTGATTGACATCATTTTATTGAAAATCACCAATATTTTTAAGGATTTTCAGTCATAAATTATTTTTTAACTTTATTTATTTATTATCATATAAAACAAGTTGATAAGATAGATTAGGGTTTATTGTAGTTTTAGTTATCTCTATATTTGCTAATAGTATAAAATAATTGTACCAAAATATATCAATACCAATTTGGTGGGACTCTACAAATAGTAATTTTTGTGATGTCATACCTAAAATAGAATAAAAAAAGCTTATCTAATGGCGCTTAAGATTGTGGTTTTGTAATGATTAATTTAAACTACTGTTTAATTAGTGGATATGATAAACTAATGGCTTTGAAGCATATTTGTACCAAGTTTCAGGTTTAGAAATCTCAAGAATATGGTTTATGATACTAACTTGTATCCTATATTTCATACCCTTAAGATACATTTTTCAAAGAAACCATTGAAACTATACATTTATTTTAATAGTTTCAATCAGAATTTTAATGTCCTATCATCATAACCTTAGTGGTGTACAAATAACTGTTTTGAAGCATTTCGAACCTCTGAGCGGAATTTTCTAAATTTGTTCTTCAATTAAAAAAGTCCTTTACAGAATTCAAACATGTTTGTGTGGAACTTGATTGTGCAAACACCCTTAACCAAAATTAATAAGCAAGTATTTAATTTGTGCTGTAGAATCACCAGCTGAATTGCAGTGGAATCTTCTGATATACTAATTGAATATAGTGAGTGTAAAATTATTCTGTACATTGATTACATATTTATTTATTAATTGCGTTTTACAGCTACATGGAAACTATGCACCCGTTTATCCGTGTGATTCACCAGTCAGAAATGGAGACGTCATACAAGTATCCGCGTCGCGATTCTCTGGTGCCCGCTGGGGTGCTTTGGGCTATCGTAATTGCCGCTCCGGGGATACTGTCGTTGCTCGCTTGGGCGGCTTGCAATGACTGTGTGGATGCATTAGAAGTAGGTTAACAAATGACTAATATCCACTTGCACTAAACTTAAGTATGTCTTAAACCAGGCTTAAACTGATAACACACTCTTAACGCAATGCATTGAGAGTGTCTTTTGCTGGCAAGCATTGGTTTAAGACATACTTAAGTTTGAGCAAGTGGGGTTTCAAATTGGTCCTGTCAGATGCAGTTCAGTCCAGATGATATGATTGTGTATTATTAGTGCTATGGCCATGGGTGGGCTGTAATTAAGCATTTAAGCACAAACTATTGGTCTGATTTGAGTGAACTCAAAATTTTGTGTCTAATTAGATTTGTAATTGATATAACAGTATTGAGGTCGGTTTGTCTGAATATTTATTTAGTTTACATTTAAATAAATCTAATATGGCCTTTGTAATTCATCAAGATAGTATTAGTAAATATAGTATATTTGGAAAACTTTTCAATAAAATATTTAAATAATAATAATTATAGTTCTTCTTTTAAATGCTATTCCATCGAAATAATCAATGATATAATTATAGTTAAATTGCATTAATAAACATTTTAAGTATCTTGAATGCATTAATAATCATTTTAACTATCTCGAATAATTTTCAAAAACAATCGCCATTCGTATTTGTTTTAGATACTATTGGCATGGTCGCTCGCAATCGGTATCAATGGAGTTGTAACTGATGCTATCAAATTAATAGCAGGTGAGATGTTAATTTAGGCAGTCTTACTTTTATATGTTAATAAGAAAATAGAAGCACGTCAGGGAACAAAATGTTATAGTTTAAATAAAAGTGAATAATTTTTTAGGCCGACCCCGTCCAGACTTCTTTTACCGCTGCTTCCCTGATGGTATAGAGACTGTGGACTTGCAGTGTACGGGAGATCCAGATCTAATCATGGAGGGACGGAAGTCTTTCCCCAGCGGACATAGCAGTTGTAAGTATTTGTTTTTATTTTTAATTGTATGTATTTTACTTGCCTTCAGTCTTCACTACGCGCTGTGTTTAGGATATACGTGTTATATGCCAATCTTACCATCAGTATGTTGTCAGTACACCTGGATCTTGCTGCTTGGTACTTGGTACTTGGTGTAATGAGCTGGTGTCCGCAACTCGATGTCGAGGCGCCTATTTTGCGTGTGCTGGGTGCATGGTTATACTCGTGCCACCGAAGCTCCTCCAAGAATCTCAGCAGCCTCGTCGGTTTGCTGAAGACTTCGGGGAGCGACCTTGGCACTCCAAGGTACTTCACCCTGTAGTTGGCCACGCCGGATCACTGTAGTAGGATGTGCACAGCCGTTTCCTCTAGATGGCTGTCTGTGATACCTAAATTGAAAAGGTGTTTGTTGTATGGACCACGACCCGTTAAGGCGGCAGTTAGAGTGCGAAGCTCTTGCCTTTTGAGTTTAATTAATATTCGTGATAGACTGGCATTGAGCGTTGGGAGTGCTTCTCTCGCCTGTCTACAAACCGTAAGGGTGGACCATGTATTATTATGTGAAGATTTTGTACCTTTGTGTATAGTTGTTCTGGACTATTGGTAGGGGAGGGACACTATAGCGTCCGTCTCCGACCCTTTTCTGACTAATTTTATCTGCTGCGTCATTGCCACGTGAGCCGCTGTGTCCTTTAATCCACTGTAGAGTTACGTGGTTTTGTATACATATCTCCATGAGTGCTTGATGGCACTCATAAATGAGCCCTGAGTTTATGTCATAGCTGTTCAGTGCTTGAAGTACTGACATACTGTCAGAGAGTATTCGAATGGAGTGATTCTTTACTCTTCTCGCTATGATTGCTTCTGCCGCCAACTTGATGCCCGTGCATTCAGCCTGGAATACTGTGTTGTGGTCACCAAGCGATGTTGATATCCTTGATATTGAGGTCTTCTGAGAATACCCCAGTACCTGTTCCTGAATTTGTTTTAGATCCATCAGTGAAGACGCGGACCTCCCTGGGGTTCAATTCTTCATTGGGATCTTCAAACAATTGTAACTTGTATTTTTTGTTAAAGATATATGTAGATGTTTTGGGATCCTATCCACAGCTGCCTCCAGTAGCGGTTCCTCATTGACAGTCTTATAAAGGATTTCTGTGTGTGGGGTTCTCATGTGCTTCCAAAGGCCGATTCTGTTTAGACGCACTGCTGTTGACGCCGCTTCCTGTCTGATGAACAGTGGGAGGGGTCGCAGGTCCAAAATCGCTTCGAGGGCCGCAGTTGGAGTTATCCTCATGCAGCCGACTACACCTGGATTTTGTTACAGTGTCCTTCTGCTCTCTGGGTATGGCGTCAGCGTGGCTATGCGGGCGACTGGGGGTACTGTCGCGACGTCGAGGCAGTGGACTTAGAGTGGTGACGTCATTTGCGCCGCTGGTTGCCGCTGCCTGTATTGCTATGTCACGGAGCTGTGACTATCATCATCATTGGCAGGGTATGTATTAAATAGGAATTTACATAAAACACTGCCGAAAAAGTCTCACACACGATCTTAACTAAGGGCCATCAGACACGATACGTTTGAGCGCCGTCGTCGCTACTCTATCTCGTTTTAAGTAGAGACCCAGTTGGGAACTTATCATGTTAACTTCATAATGTGCAGGTATGTTCACGATGTTACGCTGTAAAAAAAGTGGTACAATCATATACTGCAAAGTAGCAGTGGCTCGAAACCCAGTGCTTAAAAATCGTACGACATTTGGTCATCACTCACTCATCAAACACACAATACCTGACACATAAGTCATACTACCAATTTCATTGCAAATTTGCTATATTTGTGTAAATTCGAATTACGTCTGTTTTACTGACTTTTTTTTCGGTTTTCCCCTTCAGATATCCTGGTGGGCTCAGTATTAGGCTACACCAGCGCTATATTCTGTTATCGACAATATTATCACCCTTTATCGTCTGATTTAGCCGGAATACCGTACGCATCTGTTAAACCAGGCCGTCCAGACAGCCCATCAAAAGATATAAAAGAAGAGACACCATTACTGCCAAGGAAAGAGGATAAATGGATATAAAGATTAAAGGATAAAAGGAAGTGAATAAAAAATGTGAAAATTAAAACGGAAACGAAATGTTTTGAGATATAAATGTATTTTATCGATGGGTACTATATTAATAGTATGTAAATGAATTTGTTGCATGTTACATAGTTTGAAGAGTTTTTTGGGTATAAACTATTTTTTTAAAGATACCTTTAAAATACATATGAAATTTATTGGCAACAAAAATGTACAAAAATGCGCTTCTATAAAGTGAAGTTGTAAAACTTCAGGTGCTCATATATCGTCTCATCAAAAATAAACTCTAGGCACTGTGTACTTACATTAATTTGTATAAAATATAGTGTGATTATTTTACAAGATGATAAAGTTTATGAATGTATCTGGTTAAGTCAACTTTATCTGTTTTCAAGTTGTCGCCATAACATTGGAATTTTAATATTGTGAATATTTCGGCACAGTTAAGACTGATACCAGAAAATTCATACTTTTGCAGGGAACTCTTGTCTGCAGCGCTATTCACTATCAACATTTGTAAAAATACCGTCTCCCCAATCATGCAGTGCGCAAAGCATTGCGTGATTCGGGAGGCACTTAAGGGTATTACAATATGACACTTTTTTGACAAAAATGTAATAAAACAGTCAATTTATATGAGAAACAAAATGACACGACGACGTTATTGTTTCACTCATCAGCTTAAAACTGATATAATGAAAAGAGATTAAAATTATGTTACAAAATGATTCCAAAGATATCATAAATTTTAAATTATAGGCTCAAAATTATCTGAACGCTCAAAGTAAGCAAAAATATCTACGCATACTTTTTTTTATGATATTAAGTGACAGGAATGGTGGTAAGCGACACAGTAGCAGTGCCACTTAGGGCTTTAAATCACATAGATCTGAGGGGCACTGTCACTACGACATAAGTTGACGAGTCTCAAGTGCCTGTAGTTTCACCTGCACTCTTACCATTGAAAACCGGAGCGGAGTAATGCTCATATTGCCGTTTGGCAGCAGAAATTCCGTGGAGGAACTCTTTCACTAGGAGCTCTACTACTAGAAAATATATAAAAATGTCTGTGCGTTAAAAGTGCTTAAATTATCGGCATAGTGCACAAAACTTTGAAACTGAACATAATTTAAGACTACTTAGTAGGCATTCCAAACAACATTGAACAACAAAGTCTTGCTTTGGATACACAGGATATTTTTGGTTAATTTGACCGTCGCGTCGTAGTCAATCTGACGCTGTATGACTTATGAAAACATGAGTTGATTAAATAAAATAGGAAAGTAATTCTTCCAAAATAGGATATTTTGTTCATAATAATTATTTTATTTATTTAAACTAGTACTTACGTACGTTATTATGTTCCAAATATAAATACCTAATTTGCATTTAGAAGCAACACTATTAATAATATAAAAATAATTTATTTTTGTGATTTAAAACAGTTACCATTTTTATATTGTTATGTTTTTTTTTTTTGGGTTACTAAAGGTTATACTAACATAATAATGTAGACAATGAGACTATAATACCTACATCCAATGGAACGAGAATTTTTCCCAAGTGTCTGCTTGTAGAACTCTAAGAAAAATGTAATCTGTCTCATTTGCTGCGAAAATCAGTCACGAACTAAGTATTACGAAACTAAGGGAACTAAGTATTAAAAACGTTCCTCTAAAGATGTCGAATATTCTCTTGGTCCATTTTATTCTATTTTATGACACTATGACAAAATCATAAAAATATATTTAAAAAAGTATTTTATTATTTAACATTGTTTTGCGAGAGTAGTAATTTATTCATATCGAGTTTTAAGGTTTTTGCGATTGTTACACATAGGAAATGAAACTAATTTTTTTTATTAAATCGCGTTTATTTGTTTTTTCAAACGAACCAACGTTTCAGGGCCTTTGCAAGTCCCGTCGTCACCATAGATATAGAAAAAAAGGGGAGATATGTCATGAGGGTATGTAAGATCGGGTACCGATGTCGCCCCTTTTTAGCTTGTGTGCAATTCAAACTTTACGCTCTATTATCTACTACCATAATTTAACGGTTTTGATTGGTTAGAGCTTAAAACATGAAAACGACGTAATACAATTTTCAATTTGAACAAAATTAAACTTACAGTCACTTCAGTAAGATTTATATTGCAACATTTCAGTTTTTTTTTCATCCTGGTTCAGCCATTCATCATCAGGTGGCGTTTTAGTAAAAATACTACTAGTATATAATAGCTAACTATTGTGCGTTACGTGGCGCTGAAACTCATTTCTCGTTACACTACGAACTCACGGAGCGGTTCTCATCCGCGTCCGCCGGCCGCGCCCACCGTTGAAAGTAATAGTTAAGCATGTAAAATTTTGTAGCACATTTCACGATGCGTTTTACGCCCGTAGTGGCGACTCGGCAGCCGCCGTCACCCGCGCACTTTGGCGGTCGGTTCAAGCGCAATGTGGTGCAGGCGCGGGGGTGTGAGTTCCCTATTAACCGCGCGACTTGCGATCATCTCCCACTAAGTTTCCAGTCCGTTCCGCAATCTCAGCGGCTACGTGCCCGCACAAACTTGCCGTGTCGTGAGTATTGAAATAAAACCCCTGTTCCGCAGCCGCAGCGGGCGTGAGTGGAAATCGCTCCGCGAATGGTTAGACTTATTATTCTTAGTCTGGCGCTACTCAACTAGGGTTGTGGTCCTACCTAATCGATAGTTAAACACCTGTGGCTGTCTTTAATAGTCAAAAACCCTTCATAACCACACTGGCACTTGTATTAGCAGGTTCATGTCAAACTTTGGGCTGTCACTGTCAAGAGTAACTCGAACCCTTAACAAATTAAATTAAATAAATTGTTGTCTTTATGTATTTCTGCAAAAATTCTCTAATTTTCTTTTAGAAAATTATATAAATTTTTCATCGTTGTTTGTAATTTATTTTGCATGCACATGTAAAATAAAGCCTTTTTATTTTGCATTTGCTCCACAAAAAGAGATGTTGTTTAGTAGCTGGTTATGAAAAACAGTTATGTAAAGTTTCGAAAGGCTCATTTTCACATGAATGCTTTCGCTTCGGCATATAACACACTTTAATCATAAAAATTACACCAAAAAAAACAAATTTTTTGATAAAAATATCGATAGTCGATGAACATCGTCAACGAACATCACTACGTTCGTGTCTAGAAATTTCTATGTAAAAAATTGAAATTCGAATAAAAATAGAAATATTGATTAAACATGTAACTAACCGGTGGTACGTTATCCCGCTAATTTTGAAATTATTGTTTTGACTCCGATTTTTACAGAGTTTTACGCTACAAACTGTCATTTTCAAGTTTTACGGGAGTTCTTATGCGCATAACGATCGCCGCGCCACTGTGACGACGTTTGAACGCGTGTCACCAAGATATGGTCATTTTGACCATATCGAGGCGACACGAACCACGCCCCCATACCAAATGTACCCTTTTTTTCTATATCTATGGTCGTCACGTGTGACTGAGATGGTAACGTCATCAACCATGCCTGTTATTAATGCAAACTATCGTATTTTTCACTATTGTTACAAAAGTTAATTAAACACTGTAGTTTTAATTTTTTTCCAAGGAACATTCCACTTTACGCTACATGTTTTACAAATTATTTATTTTAACTTTTTTTTTCATTTTTAATATAATTTAGATCCGGAAACAATAGTTTCATTTCCTACAGTAATTTGTTTTTAATATAATAAATGTTGTTATTTATATATAGTTATTCTATAAAATAATCTATATTTACTTCTTATTTAATCAATATGCTTTTAACAGAATTATTGATGTGCTAGATTTACCAAATGATGTGGTGATTAAGATATTCAAAAATGTTTCCATGGCCCCAAATTTACATTGCGGCGGAACCCGCGGGTAGTAGCGCGGTCAAGCATCTTTGAAATAAGTTGTGTAGGATTCAAGAAAAGTTGATCTATTTGGTGTAAAAATATGACTGTTTGTACAATGTAAAAGCTAGATATTTTAGTGGCAAAATTTTTATGAATAATGCGAGTGGAAAAGTCATAAGTCTAAGTAGGATATATAGAAATATATAAATAATTTCAAAATGTTTCATATTGTCCAAAAAGTTATCGACAAATCATGAACCCTAATATATTTTCTCCTTTTACAGTTCTTTTCTCTTCTTCTACTTCACAAATAAGCGAAATGAAAAAATATCCACGCCCACCATCCTCGTCTTGTAAAGATCTCTAGACTGAACAACTGTGCAACTACTATAGACTGAAGGCGAAAGAAATTATCACGGCAGCGAGTCGAATTTCGCTTTCTTTCCGCCGCAATGTAAAATTAAGCCATTTCCTTATATATTATGTTTTTCCTTATTCTCAGGTTTTTCCATTATCTAATTACGAAGATTTAAGATGTCGCCGAGGAAATGTCGTCATTAGCTTGGCGATAACTTCGTAGTTATTACTCCTTTTTATAGCTAGTAAAACGCCAAAGAGTTTGTATAATGTAACATACTTACGTCTATTAGTATTATATGGGTATTATACAAAGACTACTTACACGTTATGTAGACAATGTCAATGAGATGTGTCTGTTCAAAGTAAAAGTATCTGAACGATTGATAAAAATATCATTATCTCCATTGACCTACCAATACAAAGGTCAATGGTTACCTCAGTGGCTTTAAGGTGCACTTTCAATTCTTTTTAGACGAATTGTAGTGTATATCAAAATGCCAAAATAAACGGTAAATTCAGTTATAGTTTTCTAGTGTTTTGACGTTCACGTCAATTTTTTAAAACAGTTCACATACTTTAAAATCGAAACGTACGTATTTCGATTGAAATTTGAACCGTAATGTGATGAAGGACCGCAACGAATGAGAGCGTTCAATGGTAACGTTTCACGTTTATCGTTCGCCCGATACAATCCGATTTATTTGTTACTTATTCAACGTGCTGTGTTAGAAATTATAAGTGTGAAAATATTTAAAATATATAACCTGTATATTTTGATTATATCCAAATTATATTTAAAAATGAAGTATTTTACAAACTGATTTTTC